ATGTATATATATATGTGTGTTATATATATTTTGCTCATTTGAATGCTCCGTAGTCTAAATGCCATAAATATTTTTTGTTTAATTATTGCCTTCGCTTTGTTAGACATTAAATATTAGATTCGATACAACGATTGTACATTGTTGCATTTTCTTTTTATTAGCTATTTGTTTCGCAATCGATAAATAAATACATGAATAATAATTTGCGTGATATTGTGTATAACATACATATTTAAATTAGTGTCTCGACGACAGTTAAATGGTTAGACCGCCAAAGATTATAGTGACGGACATCGATGAAGACCCGGACATTAAACGCCAATTAAGGAATAGAGAGATTAAGGACTGGTCCGGTAGGTTACCCATCCATTTCGTTTATTTAATATAAAAATTAGACCGCCAAAGATTATAGTGACGGACATCGATGAAGACCCGGACATTAAACGCCAATTAAGGAATAGAGAGATTAAGGACTGGTCCGGTAGGTTACCCATCCATTTCGTTTATTTAATATAAAAATTGTTAGTTTATTTAAGAATTGAATTTAGAAAATTAAATTATATAGTAATTTACACCAAATTCAGAATAAATATTTTGAGACAATGCAGTAATATTTATACAGTTTAGTAATGTATAAAGTTTTAGTGAAATTCTCACAATAAGTATTGACTGAGCAAACAGAATATAAAAGAAAACTTTTTCATCAGTCAATCAATTCTTAAGCCCCAGAGGAATGGAAACACTCTTATAGCCAGAGAATAGTATTAAAAACTTTCAAAAGAAGATCCTTTTTGTCACATCTTTTTATCATAAGTTATGTCAACCAAAAAATCGATTCTGCATTCACTCGACAAAAAAAAGCGAGAAATCTATTATTTTTTCTAAACTTAAAAGGTTTGATAATTTGATTTTTTCTCTTTTTCTCTTTTCATTCGCTTTTTCTAATATATTCAACACATTTATCATGGGATCCCATGCCTCCCAGCGCTGGCAGTGATAGTAGTGTTGTTATGGTTGTCGGCGGCGACGAAGATGTGCTTCATATTGGGATCGTTGACGGCATCCATGACTGCAATTATGGCCACAATTCAGTTCGTTATACTCATAAAGTCTCCGTATTCACGACATATTGGAAATAATAAATACAAATGCGGTCCTCACTATCAAATGCCTTTATCCCTGTATTTAAGGAATGTCAAGGAATTTATTTTATGTAAAACTAATAATAAGATCTCAAACGGCAAAACCGATCCTGAAAAGGATCCCATGAGTGATAATTACATACCCAAAATGCACAGTCCTTTATAACGGTTTATGTTTGTCTATGTATTGTATATGAAATTTTATTGTTGCTTATGTTGACTGTAATATATTATACTGTATTTGTTTGGGTATTCATAGAAAACAATTCGTGTATAATTTGTCTGAATCTGTGTCTAAAAAACAATATCAAAAGCGTAACAAAACTTTTTTTATATAAACAATTATATTGTATAATATTTTTTTCTATTAAACAAATTATTTGAATGTATTTATTATTCAAATCTTTAAATAATAAATAATAAAGAAATTATTTTTATCATAAAACATGAGTTTTTATTAGTTTTGAAAATTGCTTTTTGCGATTATTTCGTTAATACATTAATGCATTTAAAATGAGATAAAATTTTTTGTTTCAAATAATTTATAAGCAAAACAGAGCCGAGAATTAACTCCAATTTCAGGCATTCATTAAAGCTTTGAATTATTAATAGAATATTTAAAATACAATAATAATAAAAACTAATTGAATGTTTGATATATAAAGTAAAGTACAGTAGAGTATAGATATAGTGGACTCAACATTTACAGGCATAGAAATATATTATTTAATTACATTTATTAAAACATTCATAAATTCATTAAATGTTTTCATTCGTTTATATAAGAAGCAAATATTTATAAATGAAAAATTCCTTATCTTATAATATAATATATATATATATATAATTTTATAAAGTATATTATTAGAGTATAATAGAGTTATAGATAAGAAATATATTAACATTTAAGAGTTTATAAATAATTTGAGTATTAGTTGAATTAAAAAATATGGTTTGGAAAAACATTTTTGTTGTGCAATAAATTGGACATTAAGTACAGTTATATCTGGAATTAACACATTAATTACAATACTTTTTAGACGATACATCACATTTTTGGGTCATATTTTGAGTTATTAATTAAAAATATATGAATTTTTAATGGTGATACAGAAAAACATTTTTATAAATGTTTACTCATTTAGTGAAATAACAGTAATCTCATGAGAGAATCATATATAGGAATAGCGTTGTAAATCATCACTAATTTAATGCAAATTTTTTAAGTTTTTAGTATTAAATTATTTATAAGAGAATTGTAATAGTAAATAAACTGTATTTATTAAATGCTTTTATAAGTTTAATTATGAATAGTAAATTTAGTAAAACGTTTTGAAAAGTTATAAATATATTATCATTTGGGAATAAACTAACTGTAAAAATTTCATAAAGACTTTGTCGTTTAAGTTGCAAAATATATATCAATTGAAAGCCTAATTAATAGCAATAGAGTGGTCGACACTTGTCTTTGTTAAAGTAGACTTCAAATAATTGTGAGATATGTTCAGAAATATATTCATAATAAGCGGCACAATGTTTAAGTTTAAAACTCATACAAATAAATCACAGAATAATTTTGAGATCAGTTTTAATTATTTAGCAATTTTTCAAAATTTAATTCCTGAGAGCATATAAAACTTGAGAGCAAATGTATGTTTTTACTGAATATAACTTATGTTAAGAATAATGTGTAGAGTATAGCCAAATAGCGAAAGATATGCAGTGTTTTAGCTCAGAATATGTAAGCTAGTCATTTGAGTCATAGGGTGTTTTAGCCTGGACAATTTAACAGAGGCTGTTGAGTGCAACATCCCTAGTGTCCAAGATTCTTTAACTTAAACCAATGGTAAGCTCATAAAGGGATGGTCTTGAATAATTAACTAAACAATTATTTCGTAAATCACATTAAGAATAAAGGCTTTTTTGTTTGCAAAAAACATTAGATTTAGTCAGTTATCAAAAACACAATTAATAAAATGGAGAGAAAATTTGAGAAAAATAAATGAATAATATATTTCATTAATTATGGATAGCATTAAGTAATAAGTAATGAAGAAAAGGCATAAAAAGATTTTGGTTTTTCATGTTTGAGTGGAAAACACATTAAATTCTATTAAACTGTGGTTTGAGTCCATTATCCACAGTGATAGCGATGGGCTCTAAGGGCACGTCAACGAAAGACTGGTCGCCCGACAGGCGGTTAGACAATGGATATGAGTTGGACGACGAGTCCAGTTGGGACTGGCGTTTGGTTTGGATGTGGACCCAGAATGAGATGACTAGGAATGCGATCAATGATATGATAAATAATATTAGATTTATGGGGAATGGGATGAAATAGAATGATATCAACAGAATAATTGCCACTATTATTGAGATTCCTTTGCATTTGGGTGCAGGCATTAAAAGACAAGAATATATTTGTTAATTATGTAGAAAAGTATATTGGTTTAAAATGACAAAATAATTTTTATTTAGATTATTATTCAAATATTAATTGTGTCCACAATTGTATACATACTAATGACCCACACGTGAGCTCCCGTCTCATGTTTGGACGAAGTGTTGACAGAACTCCTGTGTCGTCCAAAGTCACCCCCGCCATCGTCACCCCTTTTAGCGCCTCCTTTACTGCATTTGCAAACAAAATCAAATGCTATCACAAACCTGTTTAATATCTTGTGTAATATATATATTTAAGAAAATATTTTTCAAGTGATTAAATGGATAAAAGAATTTATATTGATTTTCTAATACAAACCATATTCTAAGTTTAAGCACATAATTCTGTATTACAGAATCTGTATAGAATTATATTCGTTAAGCAATGCATAGCATATAAAACAATATACAAAATAAATATTTAGCTATTATATAATAGAAAATAAATGATATAGAATATTCCGTGAATAATTGAATACAAATGGAAAGCATACTTATAAAAATATCGTGTTGTCATCATTTTGATAAGAGATTCTTAGCATACAATAGTATGCTATATATTCAGGTATATTATATTTAACAATATATTTATTAAACTACACACTATTTTAAAGAAATGTTGGTTTTGTTTACATTTATTAATGTCTTGATCTCGTCGTATATCACTTGGTTTTATAATCTTATGTAGGAATCGATAGAAATAAGACTTTTATGTATTTTAATATATTCTTGTATTTAATGTTATTTCATTCAAATATTGTGTTCACATAAACAGTGGGAATCACAAACCCAAGTGTGAATCACATACTCATGAAATGCCATCTGTTTTACGAGATTCATATGTAGTCTACTTAAGGTAAATGTACTCAAATATTATATCATATATGGCTCACTATCTATGCTTTTCAATTATTACTTTATAAAACAGTTTTCTTAATACTGTATTATTATGGTTAAGAATTTTGCCATACTTTCTAGTCATTTTCTTATCTAACATTTCGTTTTGTATTCAATATATATCATAATAAACTTTTATTTCAATAATTATATTCTTAAATTGATAAATGGATCATGGCACAAGTCATCAAGCACCATTCTGTCAATATTTTTCTCATTTCTTTACTTCAGATGTTTATTCAAATAAAACAATATAATGTTAAATTAGTGATTTCTATTTAATTGATAATTTAATTAAAATTCTTGTATACTTTGTTGAATTTCATAGAAACGATATTAGATATAATTTATTATTAATTAAACATAACAAAAATAAATTAGAAAATACAACATGTTTTTATTATTTAATTTACGGCAATTTTATACGGCAACACATTTTATAACAAGTTGTTTACTGTTATAATAATATCGATACACTAAGCTACACATTATAATAATATATTACTATAATATTTTTCATAGCAAAGTACAAATAAAAATATATAGTACAATAAATAAGATTATGTTTACATTATCAATACACTTTAAGTACATTCATTCTTAATGACAAAAATATTTATAAAATTTAAGATTTTTATAAACTGTTATTCAGAATCTTCGGGATATATTGAAATAGGTTCTAATGGCACGTCCACTAATGTTTGTGTGCAGGGTGTTTGTGCTTGTGGGCAATAGATAGCAGTTGACCATGGTGTTTTAGATGGTACATTTCTGGATTTATGGTAAAATACAAATGAAACGACCAGGAATGTGATTAACGATGTTATAAACAATATTAAATTAATAGGGAATGGAATGAAATAAAATGAAAGCAACAAAACAATTGTCACGATTGCTGTGATTCCTATAGAAATAAAAATGTAAATAATATAATTATAAAATAATAATATATTTATTTAATCTTTATAATTGTGTACATACTTACGACCCATACGTTAGCTTCTGTCTCATTATTGATGGAAACATTGGTTGAACCGCTAAGTCGCCTAATATCACCTTGATTACTTTCTCTTCCATCTCTAAATCCTTTACTGAATTATATAATAAATATAAAACATCAACTCATATAATATTTTCATGTAATTAATGTATTCAATATAATTT